CTTGGTTTACAGTACTATATTTCTCGAGTACAGTTTCACACCTTGATGTGTGTGTGTGTGTGTGTGTGAGAGAGAGAGAGAGAGAGAGAGAGAGAGAGAGACTCCACACCCACCACAGAAGTTCTAGTACCATTCACCACTATCAAATTGACCCCCTCAATGGAGAATTTTAGGTGCCTTGGTGGTGGGTGTAATGTCAGTCTAGACCTCTGATTACATACAGTGTTGTAAACCATTGTTATCTCAATCAAAAAAAAAAATTGGTGCTCTCTACCCATCCTTCCAGCTCCCTTGCCCCTCCACTCTGGTAAATACCACTATGTTGTCAGAATCTATGGCTTGTTTGTGTTGTATTTTGTTGGTCATTTGCTTTTGGAGCTTCCTTTTATAGATCTACTGATCCATCTCAAAGTCACGTCTGGAACCCCCCAAGTGGGTTCTGCAGTGTGGCATTTGAGGACACCCTCCTCCACCTGCAGGACACAGGGCCCTGGGCATTATGTATATTCTCCTTTAATTTCATTCAAGGATTGGGGACCACACCATACAAACCCTCTGGTCAAAGTGAAAAGGCTTTGATTTGTTTGTCCTCATGTTATTTGTGCAATGCTCCCAGCAGTTCTGACTGAAACCTGAGGCTCTTACTGAAGTAGGAGACACAGAAATCAATTTGATCATGCCCCCTTTGCCTCCACAATAGAAGACATTTGATTACAGAGCCCAGAGGCAGCCCCAAATTCATACTACTTTGCCTAACAGGGTATAAGTGTATCAGAACAAACCAGGACATTTTTTTAACAGGTTAAAATTCTGTCTCTGTCTCTAGGGATTCCTGGATCGGAATGCAGGAAGTGGGGTGCAGTTTTCTTTCAGTCTCCCTCTTCAATTCCGGGTCAGATCATCAGTATGCCTGAGGAAATGGTGACTTGGCAAATTCTGCCTCTCCTCCCTTGTGCTGGACACAGGGCGCGTGATGAAAGCAGAATGGGCTTGAATTCAGCTTCATCACAGATGTTGGCCAACCACTGGTCAGACTCTCTCTCCCTCATCCACCCCCTTCCTTCTGCCAGAGTTGGCCTGCTGGATCAGTGGGGCGCAGAGCTGTGTGCAACCCTCTCCTGGGCTGGACACTGTCATCTGGCCAGATAAACTAACAGGCTAGGAAATCAGCTGGGGCTGGTTGTACTCTGCCCCGTCTGTTACAGCATATGGTCCGTTCACTTAAAATGACTGACAAAGCTTTGCAGTTTGTGGTGTGGCGCCCCCACCCAAACACCACGCCTACTGTCGTGTGCTCATGCAGAAAGGCCTTGGTGAGCCATTTCAACTTGGTTACAATTCATGGCTTTCGTAAGAGGAACATTTTAAAATTGGATTTGAACTCCACAGCTCCCAGGACGGCAGAACTGGATGGAAGCACTCGGAGAGACCCAATCATTTTATCCAGGGAGAAATTAAGGCAGAATTAAGATTAGCAATCCCCACAGACTCACATAACCTGTTAGTACTAAGCCAGTGAGTACCCTGGGCTCCTGGCTTCCAACCCAGCCCTCTTCCAGATCAGACTGTTGCTGCAAGTTTAATTTCACTTCATCTTCAAAATTTGACCCCTTGGAACCTTTCTGGGAAATGGACTTCTCAGCTGAGAGTGGTTTAATGCACTCTTTGAGCAAGGAGAGCCATGTGCCTCTAAGTGGTTTTGCTCAAGTTCACTAATATTTACACCCTAGGATAATCTGCCTAAATTTTGTAAATCATGTAAATTCCTACAAAGCAAGTTAACCATGAGCTACGTGATTTTTTGAAAAATCCATGTTATGCAATCACCCTGGCAAAGTTAACAACGCAATGGAGTCCTGAAGGTAACCACTGATTGCAGTCATTGCTATTGACCATTTTAAGTGTGACTATTTTTAAAATACTGTATGGCTCATTAAGCTGTGCTCTGAAAATGAGAAATTTGCTTTAACTGCATTGTTTTGAATTGCTGAGAGAAGAATCTATCAACCACAAGGTGCCCTGCTGCTGAACTCAGCCAAAAAGCTGTTAATAACTCCAGCAGATGTTTCAGCTTTTTAGGCCAATAGACTCCCTCTCTCCCTGCCCTCCCCTTTGCAGAATCTGATGCCAATATGACTGAACTCCAGTTTTTGTGGTTGCTTCTGCCTCGGCCAGCCGTGCGGCGGGGGCCAGAGGTACTGGTGCTGTGAAGAATGATTCTTTAAACAACCAGTGGCGACAGAGCCTCCGCCCCTTAAGGTCAGAACGTTATTGCTTTTACCATCAGAAGTTTAAATCTTCAGGGGGGAAGTGAAGGTAAGGGCAGTGAATCAGTATTTCCGTTTTGTTGTCTACTTTCATTGCCAGTTGTTTTGTTACCCTTTCTGTGGTTTCTCCCAACACTAAAAGTCCATTTCTCAGGCTAATCAGAGCACTCAGGTTGAAGGCCATGAATACACCAGTGTCCCCAGTGGACCAGAAGAGAGGGGCCTCGGCGTGGTGCAGTTTTGCGTAGTTGTTTGCCTCATACTGTGAGGCTCGGAGGCCTCGACCTTAGCAGTTCTACGATATTAGAAGTGTGTTATTATAACTAGAGCTACATCCCTGTGAGATAGATAGAATATGAGGTCATTCGGGGCCACCATGGTCCTAGGAAGGGATTTGTCAACACCTCTGGGCTGAGATAAACCTGACATCGTAACCTGAAATTAAATCTATGTTCTGAGGCTTTCTAAATGAGAAGAAATCAGAAAGAGGAGAAGGGAGATCCCCCTCACCCCCCCAGCCCCGCCTCCTCTATACCCTTATTTTGGAGAGAGAGCTTTTAAGGCACAACAGGGACAGCAGGGTGACCAAGAAAGCACAGGTGCACCACATTTATGGAGTATCTCATTGGCTAGGAACACATCTGAACTGCACATCTATACATATCATCATGCAGAGAATTGCTATTTCAAAGGCAGAAGGAATTGAGAGGCAGAATTAAGTTCATAAATATTTTGTTTCTTTATTTTGATGCAACACAAAGGCAGAATATCGAAGACTCTGTGGACCTCTATTGTCAGCTGCAACATTTGCCAACCATAATAATTCAACCCCAGCATCTCCACTCTATACCACATGAGCTATAAAAAGTAAGTACCTTTTCCCTGGTGCAGTCGCCACCATACTGTTCACATACTCACAGGATCGTGTCTCTCTCTTTCGGTGGAAGAGCTTGAGAATGTGATGGAAGTTCCTTTTGTATTTTTAAGTAGGTAAAGTAAGAGATTCCATTGTGACTTGATCCACCTCCTCCCAGCACCCATGCAGAACACTTAGGAATGTTACTGGAATTTGCACGTATGTCCTAAAGGGGAATTAGAGTCACTGGTGCCTGTGTATCCTGGCTTTCTTCTCAGACAGCATAACACTGAGCCTTGGGAGTGCAATGGCATTTATACCTTCTAATTCTGAAACTTAAGTAATGCAGAATAAAAATTATCCCATCATTGCAAAATATGACATTCCCACTAGCAAGTGGGATGGACATTTCTACCTAGGTTACTCTGATTCCAAGAAGCCCATACCAGAGGACTCTCTAGTAAGATAAAACCAGCAGAGTTGGTGTAATAATAAATAAAAGAAATACCAAAAAAAAATCACAAAATCTCCTACTTAATCAGTGGAGACTATATTCTCATTATTAAAAAATTCCATATTAAATTGCCCATTTGCATTTCCAGAGAAGTGAAAACACAAAATGGAAAAAGAGAATTGAAAATCATGGTTTTAGTTGAGATGCCAGGCCTGCCAGCAGAAACTATTGGTAACAGGCATTATAAAACTATGTGTATATCCAGACCATTTATTTCATAGGTCTTGAACTTTACCTGGAATCTTCTATTCCAAGTGATGATTTCCCAGCTATTTTGTTCTTGATTATTTCCAGTCCAAGTAGAATGGACAATAAAGAAAAGATGCTTCTATGCTATTTCCATGATGGATGTTCACCACCAAAATAACTTCACCATCTGATGTATTTCACAGTTTTAAGTTAAAACAGACCTACTATAATATGCTTGTACATCTGGCTCAGGTGCTTCATTTGCCATATGTTTGTGAAATAATCCAAGGAGATGTTACAATCGTACGTTCCCCTTGGGACCTGAATAAAATGTGCCCACAAAGAGTTACCTAATTATTCATTCCTGCCAACAACAACCTAGCCTAATAATAAGGGGGTGCTTAAAATGAGACAATAGTGCTTTCAATCTTCAGAGATGTCAGTGCCACTTATTGTTTCAAAAACACAGTCTTTTGCATTTTTTTAAATAAGGAAAAGATCCTTGGCCTTTAAAGCAAATAAAATACTCTGCAGGTGACATATTTTGTATCTTACAGGGGCACATTCTGCAGTAGTGATCCAGGTCACTGTGCCTGGAGTTCACTGGATGAAAGCCCACATAGCCACAATGGAAATTAGTCCCCCACAAGTTGATAGCCCCTGAGAAATTACACTCTGTTAATACTAAACATTTATGGAGAACTTTATAATTTGTAAATTACTTTCATATATGTTCCTCCATTTAATTCTTCTAACAACCTTGTGAAACAGATAAAAGAGACATACCTTATACCAGTTGTAGAGCTGATCCTTCATAGCACTAAGGAGCTGGAAGTGTGAGCATATTTTTTAAATTTTTGGACTTGACTAATAAGCAGCAGTTACCATAATGTATGATCTCACTTTGAGCCATTGACAGTCTGGTTTTTTTTCCTCTCTGCCACTTGCATTTTTTAATCCCATAATTGATATTCTTTCTTTCTCTCTTGTATTTTTGATTCAAAATGAATAACTTGATTTTTTTTCAAGGGTTAAAAAAGGGAGGGGAATTAATTTAATAATTAAAATACAGGTCAACACAAAAATACAAATTTTGATGAAGGTTTAGGCCAAGTCAAAGATCAAACGGATAAAATTATGTTCTAAGGTTAGCTTTATCCACCATTAAATCAATTTTTTTTTTAAAGTACAATTTCCATTTTATTTCTCCACAGAGTTGTCCTTCAGTCGTTACATGGCTTTACTCTAGCTTCTTTACATGGGCTTTGGAGGAGGTCGTGGGGCAGCACCCGCAGGCCTAAATCAGGGTGGGTGTGTTCTATCCTTCCGAGCTTCACGAGAACGATTCCTGACCACCTTGCTGTGAATAGCACAACTCACGCAATAATGCAGTTTCACATACAGCTTGGGAAGCACATAGGCGTCGAACACGCTGGCCTCCGAGATGTCCCTGACGGCCGCGGCCTCCTCGATGTTCCGGATGATGAACTTCTTGATGGCTTTGTCCTTGGGCACGCAGTGGGCGCAGTTGCAGTTGGTGCAGCGAATGGGCTGCAAGTGGCCGCGGCCCTTCTTGGCACGACCATTATTCCTCCTTTTCTTGGTCATCTTGGAAGCAGGACCCGAAAGAGCCCATTAAATCAATTTAAGAGAATGTGGCAAGGATGAAGATATTAGTCAGTGAAACTTTAGTAGTGTGTTCACTGTATATTGATTAAAGGAACAAAAAATATGAATGGTATCTCCATAAGGACTGAGAGACAGGGAGAATAAAAGATTTGCCTCTGCTTACCCAGTTTATAAGTGGGTATCAGTGCCAGTTTCATCTGCCTCCAAGGTACTTGTTCAAAATAACAGGTAATACAAATCATCCCTTAGTTCTACATTTCCAGTAAATCTCCATAGTTTTGATTGCTCAGTGCATATGTATGTATGCATGTGTGTGTTTTTGTGTGTGTGTGTGTGTATAAAATCTGTGCAAGAACATTATATGAGGAAGTATTTACTATATTTTTCACTTGTTGGATTGAGAGAAATGAATGAGAAAGTTCATAGAACAGTATAATAAATCTTGAAAAACAAAATGCCACCAAGTGTTTCCTGTCCCTATACTCTGAGACCAGGTAGAAAATAGTTTAAAGGACACTGTGTACCCTTGATCTTGTTATATGATGGGTCTCAGATGAACAATCAAAAAATCTTGGGAGCTGAGGGATCTACTATCAGAAATACTAAACCCTGAGTGTATACAGTGAGCTCACCTCTTCCTAATACCTGCTTTAACAATTCATTGGAATAGTTAGATTCTATTGATCAAGAACATTAAAGCAATCACGACCATGATCAGGAGTTCTTAAAAATGTATACATGTCCCAGTAGTGGTATGGAAGACATATTTTATTATATCAGAAATTATGCCTCAAAAGTTATCTATGTAATCAAATGGGCGCTCCTGATCTTCATTTTGGCAGCATGCTTTGAGATTCCCTTGGCAAAAATTTTCACACTGACTGCAGTGATAATACTTTTTGAAATGTATATATCTCCTTCAGCCACTAAATGTTTATTGAGTGCCTACTGATACACCACATGTTAAGAATGCAAGGTCCTGTCTCAAGGCACTTAAACAACTGGAGAATCACTTACAAATGAACAAATACAAAGATATTTATTAAATTGGATGATCCAGCACACTGAGTGGCAGATTAGGATAACACATTTAAATCTGTCCTGGAAAACTCCCCAGAGGAAGAAGAAACATGAATAGGTATTTTCCAAGCAGACAAAAGATTTTAAATTTATTCTGTGAGTCATGAGATCAGTCATCAGTTTTAAGCAAAGGAGGGACATACTCAAATTTTTGCATTTGAACTCTGGGCCTGCTATGCAAAGGCAATTGGAAAAGGGAATTCCTCAAGCAAGTGGCAAGGATTGTGTTACAGTAACTGAAGGAGACGATGGGCCCAAGCAAATGGAATAGTGGCCCCCGTCGCTATGAGAGATAAATGCAGAGAGGAATAAATCGTTTATGATGTTTGGAATGTGAGGAAGGAGTCAAAGGCTCCCAGACATTTCGCTTGGGAAACTGGGTGAAGGTTCCAACTATTCATGAAAATAAAGACTATAGGAAGGAGAGAGTAACTGGTACAGACACAGAAGCTGAGAGGAAATGTCTAATTCTAGTCTTACTAAGTCTGTACAGGCTGGCTGTCCAGGTGAAACTATTTAGAAATCAATTGGAGAGCTATGGACTGTGGCTCAGGATAGAGATTTAAATGTAAATTAGTATGGGCAAGATTCCCTCCCATCCCCTCAAAGTGATAAATGTGGAAAAAGAAGATACTGACATTTAAGAAGAGGGCAGAGAAATAAATTTAAGCCAATCAAGGTGCAAGAAAAGGAGCAGCTAGTGTCGAGATCAGCCAGGAAAAGAGTCATGTCATGGAAAGTAAAATTAGAACTTCAAGAACAGGAGAATAATCAGCTGGACAAATCATATAAAATGAGAACTAAAAATATTTATTCTGTTGGATTAGGACATGAAACAGGACAGAGTCCATGCAGTGACATGGGTTGAGTCAAATTAGAAATGGTTAGAAAGTGGATTGGTGAGTCAGAGTCAGAGAATAAATCTAGGTTGCATTTTATAAAACAATAGCTGTCAAAGAGAGAAGCATAGGGGTGTTAAGTAAATAGACCATTTGTTTTTTAAGTGAAAAGGACAAATATATTTTTATACCAAGGGGAACAACCAATGGAGCACTGAGGTTAAAAAGGACAATATTGATAAGGCAGATTTTCTAAGGAGGCAAGACGGCATGACTGCCCCAGCACCAGTATATGGAATTGCTTTGGATGGGAAGACAGTCTTTTGCTAAAGATGAGGACAAGGATAGGATGGGTACAAATGCAAGTGCACTTGTGGGCGCATGGATGGGAGCAGGAAAGAAGTCACTCTTGATAAGTGCTAGCCCCTAACTCAGAAGCAAGGTCATCCCAGAGAGAGAAGATTGAAAGCTTTGAGGAGTGGTAACGGTTTGGAATAGCAGCTAAGGGAAATGGGAGAAACACGTATAATAGGACTGCCGAGTAACATTGAAGGCACAACTGAGATTAGTTTCACTACAGATTTATGGTCTCCATTCTATATGGTTGTGATTTTTCTTTTTCCTCCAGCAGAGCAGTGCCCAAGGAATGTTTACAACTAAGGAGGCTCCATGGAGGATTGCTTGAAGGACATGAAGTCCATCCATCTCAGCAGATAGTTTAGATTGTATCTCAAGACCAAGGTAAGCCATCCAAACTAAATACTTGAACTGTGTTATTCCAGCCCCCTTTACTTTTACTTACTTTTACTAAATTACATTTTGGCATTAGGCCTCTGCTTGTGGGGAAGAACCCAATGAGAAACAGCCCAGCTCTGTCAGCATTGTTAGAATTGTGGGGAGTGTTGAGAAAGGCATTGGCCTCTGAGCCATTCATGTTCCACTCATGACAGCACAAAGAACTCTTTCCCTTAAATCCAATGCCAACAAACAATTGATTTTTCATAAAGAGCTCCATGTTTATCTGGTATAAAGCTAGGGATGGTCCAGAGCATAGTCTCGAAGCCAGAATGCTTAGGTTCAAATCCAGCATCTATCAAGTATTAGCTCTTCACCTTGAACCTCTTTACTTCTTGGTGTTTCAGTTTCCTTAATTATAAAACAACAAAAATAATCATACCTACTTCAGCAGACTGCACTGAGGATTAAATGAGACATCTAATGTAAAGGAGCTTACATTGTGGCTGGCAAATCCTAAATCCTCAATAGAAATTAGCCAGTTATTGCTGTGTTATTTTCTTAGAACTGCTCTTTTTCTTGTCTTTTGTGCTTTAACTCCATTCTCTTTGTTCTATGCATTTGTATGTATTACTTTACCTCTGGTTTCTACTTAATGTTGTTTTTGCCTTTTGTTCTATGCCCATGCACTTATTTTGTTTTCTGATATCCATGTAGCATCATTGTAGAATGAGGCAGAAAAAAGCAAGTAAACTAAAGAGGGTCTTACACCAAGCAGTCACTGTAAAGACTATTCTACTTTTAGACCTCTTTTTAGGAAAAGATTCAAAGATGGTAAAAAGAAAAGGACTTGGAACTTTCTTCTCCCGCATTTCTATCTAGAAATCCAAATTTCCTTGAAGTCCATTTCACCTGATGTTTACTTTTCTTACTATCATTCTTGATGAGTCCCTGTAGTGACTTAGCCTAATTCATTATTTGCTCATAGTAAATAAATAATGTTACTTTACTTGCTGAGAGGAATGGATTGTTGCAGATTGACAAACAGTGCAGTTTTGTGGTGGGATGAGAGCTGGATTGGGGTCAAAGGGTCTGGGTTTGGCTGTCAGTTCTGCCACTTACCACCTCTTCATTGGCTCTCTGGCCTCAGTTCTTTTATCTGCTAAGCAGAGTTAATGGTCTTGACATCACAGTGCAGTTGTGAAAAATGGAGAAGGTGGACAAATTAGTTGACTCTGTCTCTAATATAAGTGGTACCATGCATGTCGCCATTCAAACTTGTACTTGGATAAATTGTAACAAATAATTCAGTCTTCCTAAGTATGTTTAAAAGGCAACTTTAACATACTGTCTAACTGAATTGTTTGAGATACATATACTAGTCATTTTGGAGTAGTCAGTCAAATTGCAAAGCAAAAAAATTTTTTAGTCCTCTAAGAATATCCAAAAAATTTCATCTTGGTATCTGAATATCACCTTGGCCTGTAGTGTCATTAGAAAAACAAGAAAAATATCACAGATTGTCTTCTTTGCTTTAGACTAACTATATAACCCATGGTAGACAAATCAGTGTGCTATGGGGTCTCACCATTTGTGTGTTTTTCTTCTTATTGTTGTTGTTGGTTTGTTGCTCCATATTCCAGTGAGTATATGCAGATGAAAGGCTGCTTTCAAGGTGTTTAGCTCAAGGCATGTGGGTGTGGTACAGTGTACCCCAGGTGTTGGTATCAAAAGGACAGTAAAAGGGTTTGGGCCAATTTCTAAAGCAACAAGAGAACTTATTTCCCTGTCCCCCTTCTCTCTTTCAGGCCCAAAGTTGAAAACCAAAGGCCTGTGTTGGTGGGCCACTCCCACCACCAAACATCCCTGAGAAATCAGTATCAGAAAGCATAAAAAAGCCCAACTACAATGGTTGGTCTTCAAAGAGGCTCATTTATTATATTGCTCAGTGCCCCACAGAGTTGCTCCAAGCTCATAACTGCCACTGATTTCAAAGAGAGCTCTGAACTTGCATACGCTCCACAAGGCACAGCGCAGGATGAGAAATAGGCTGAGTGGCTTGAAGCCATGTTCAGACATTTTTTAATGTTCGTAAATGTCTTTGGCACCATCACTTTCACATAGAAACCTACTTACCTCCTGCCGCAAAGTGTGAGATAAAGCCATTTTCAAGCCCAGGTAGGGGAAGGTCTGGAAATTGGGCTAAATCTTAAAACTGCATGAAGATTGAAAATAGGACTCAGGAGCTGAAGCTCAGCTTTCACTAAACCATTTTGGACACTCTGGCCTGCAAGATACTGTCAGTGTCACCTTTAAAGGGTTAAGACAGCAAACCGTGGTGATCTCA